AAAGTGGGAAGCTATGGCTGTCAGACCATGTGCTGGCTGGGTTTGCTGAGCTGCATTTTCCTCTTTTTATGCACTCTTCTCTTCTAAGGATGGCTCTCCAGGTAAATGGATGGGGAGGAAGATAAGTGGAAATGAAGATGATATAAAAACAATAGATCACAAAAATTTTTTTTTAAAAAGGAAGGTGAAGAAGAGAAAAGGTACCTCTCTCCCTTCATTACATGAGGGAAGACTGTGGGTATAGACTGTTGGCTATACTGTCAGACACCATGAAGTACAGTTTTGCTTTACTTAACTAATTTTTCTCTTTTTTAAACTTTGTTACAAGGGATGGCTCATTATGTAAAGGAAACAAGTGTGATATAAAAACAAAAGCCAAAAATAAAGACACCTTTTTGAAAGGAAAAGGGGAATGTTTTTAAATGGTTAAATAATTAATTAAAAAACATTTTTATAAATATTTCTATTAGAATGGTTTATAAAACAAATCTAAGTAAAGTACATCTAGATCTACCAGTTTGCACCCGGTCAAAACAGGAATTCCAGTTACTCTGGCATGACCTGCTCTTGATGAAGCTATATTAACTCTACTGATTTTTGAAGTAATAAATCTATCAATTATTTTGGGTTGTATGATCTTTACAATATTTGCTTGTGATAGCTATGGATACTGAAACTAGTTATTCCTTTATTTCTAAAATGTTTTATAGTAATCTTCATATAAATTCTGCATGAATCTTGGTAGGCTCATCTCCTGATACTGCATATAATGAATTATTCTTTTAAATAGTATTTTGATATCACTTTCTGCTTTTTATTACTGACATATAAAAAAGTTGATGACCAGTGGCTTTAATTTTTTCCTGCTACTTTGCTAAAATTCTCTCATATTTTGTTGATCCACCTAAGAATGCTAAATAAACTATCATATCCTCTGCAAAAAAAAAAGGAATCTGTAAATTTTTTGTATTATTATTATGATAGCTGACTTCAACCAATCAATCAACATTGATAAAGCAGTTACTATGCGTCAGGCACCGTGCTAAGTGCGAGGGATACAAAAAGAAGCAAAAGACAGTCCCTGCTCTCAGGGAGCTTCTAGAATTCTGTCAAATAACAATGGTGAGAGGGAGCTGACTTGCCTTACTCCTATTCTTATGGGGAAAGGTCCTCAGTGGCAATGGTGCTGGGTTGAAACTCTAGCTCTGCACTTACTACTTGTGCGACTTTAGGCAAACCTCTCTGAACCTCTCTTTCAGTTTCCTCATCTGTAGAATGACAAGACTGGACTGGCTAACTTCAAGGTCCCCTTTAGTGCTATACCTAAGAATCAATCCATTTGCGTAAAATGTTTGCTGGACAGCATCTCCCCTGAACTTCCCAGTAAGACCATGAGAGAGGGAGGCACTGCACATACTATCCCTGGCTGTTTTCAGAGAAGCTAAGTCACTTACCCACACTCACATGAGTATTGAAGACAGGATTTCAAACCAGGCCTCCCCCAAATCTCCGACTCCGTGGACTCCCCCACACTGTCTCCTGAACTTCTCTTCTCTTCTAGTCCCACTATCATCACCCTAGTGTACCGATTTTCCTCAGTGTACTGCTTTCATCAGGCCACCTTCCTTCTCAACACCCTTCAGTGGCTCCCCACTCCAAGACCAATTTCTGAACCATCAGCCCACCTCCCAAGTCCATGGATAATCAGGTCCCAATCGACCACACTTATTCAGACTCTACCTCCCATTACTTTGCAACACGGCTCCCGCCAGCTGCCATCTTCCTTAGCACACATGCTCCACTTTCCCCTTAAGAAAAATACTGTGGGGGCAGCTAAGTGGTGCAATAGATAGAGCTCTAGCCTTGGAGTCAGGAGAACCTGAGTTCAAATCTGGCCTCAGACACATGACACTTACCAGCTGTGTGACGCTGGGCAAGTTACTTAATCCTGACTGCCTCACCAAAAAGGAAAAAAAAAAAAAAATACTGTGCTCATTCCTCACTCTGCCCCATAACTTAGATCATGCCAGCTCAAGGTCAACTTCATAGATGGGAACATGAATCTCTGAATCTGTTTCCTCCATTTATAAACTAGTTTCTAAGGCCTTAAATTTCTATTTCAGAATTACATAAATTATTCAACATCAAAATTAGGAGCAGAGATACAGAGCTCAGAGATGGGAGATAGCACTCTGTGACAGAGTGCCCAGGTATGCTTCATCTAGTCCCTGTGACTGCATTAAGATGGACAGCACGCCCCAGGAAGAGATCTAGGGAAAAGGGCTTTGTTATCAATGACCATGGGTCTCCAAGGACACAACAAAAGGGGACTTCAGGGTAAGATAGTACTGGGAGAGCTGGCAGGGAGAACAGGCTCAGCTAAGGCTTTGCTCCTAAGGAACATTGTGCAACTCAGAATTAAGTAATTCAGGAAAGAGAGTTGGGGGGTCTGCTAGCCATTAGATAGGAAAAGTACCAGGTAACGAGGTCATCTGGACACCTAGCATCCCATACGCAGAAAGGGCAGTCGCAGCACCTATATCACTCACTTGACACTGAGGAGCTGGCACTGGGGGAATGAGGCGCTTGGGCCAGGCAATACCTAGTGATTAAGCCTTTAGGGATAAGACTGAATTCACACTTGGTGCTATCTCTGTTCCCTCATCCTATAATGGCAGAATACAAGGCATCCTTAGAACACGTGTTTTGGACTCCTGATCAGGTCCGGACCAGCAAACAGAAGAGTGTAACCTGGCTACAGGAGCCTGTGCCTCCAAGCTGGCTGTGTGACCCTGGGCAAGTCAATGCAGCCATCTATTCCACAACTGTAGCTAAAGCACCAGGTACTGGGTTGAGGGCTGGGGATACAAAAACAAAAACAGACAAGACTCTGCCCCTTCAGCCAGGGCTCCTCCCTGTATACTGCTGGATAAATCAATACAAAATACACAAATCAGCTTTGAGGGCAAGAAGAGGGAACCGCCAATGAAGTGAAGTGGTAGTGAGCAAAGCAGAAGAGGCCTGGCCTAGAGAACGACCCAAGAAGGGCTCAGAGGATGCTGAGAGTCAGAAGGCCAGGTACAAAGGCATCCCTTTACGAATACAAATACATACAAATCACATCCAGCAAAGAGCCAGAAACTGGAACGACTGAGAAGGAGCTGCCATTAAGGGAAGGGACTAAGGAGTGGCCTAGACAGTCTTTGAAGTTTCAGGATTCTAGTTAGAAAGCACAACAGAACCAAACCAAGGAAGGACTTAAAATGTCAAGCTAAGGATTTTGGAGAGTTCGACCTATAAGCAATGGAGAACCTCCAAAAGTTTAGGAGTTTTAAAAAATAACTTATTATTGACTCTCATAAATAGGAAAAGCATTTTTTGAAAAAGCTACTAAATACTACAAGCTAAATCTACTAGTTTTTTAATTTCTCTATCACACAGCCATGTACAACAACTTCCTACTTCACCCTTAGCGCCATCCTCCGCTGAAGGCTTTTGAGTGGAAGAACAGGATCAAAACAGTATTACAAGGAATATTCATCTGGTAATGGAACACTGAATTGAGAATGCTTCCAAATAAGTATTTCTTCATTCAAAACGACGGCACTGCACTGTGAGCTACAAACCCCCTCTCCTCTTTTCTCAGTCTTATTCTCAACATTTACACTGTCACTAAAGAGAATCTAGTGTATAAAGATACACAAGTTCAAGGAATGGAGAGGAAGCAGCCCAGCCCCAGAAGGAGCTGAGAACAGGCAGTTCTGCTCATCACCAAGATCCAAGAAAAGCTGCTCAGTGGGACTCAAAGTCAATACCCGTTTCCAGACGGTTTGGGGGTCTGAGGGCTATTATTGTTATTTTAAAATTTTAAAGGTCAGTAAGACTAAGATATATGGTGTTAATTGCAAAACATCTGCCTTTATGCAAGACTTGCCAACATAAACTCCCAAAGCAGCACTGTAGCGTAAGCCTTCTCATCTTTAAAAAAATTTTCAAATTGGTGCCTAGATTTGAAAACACAGGCTCTTACACACACGGTGTGTACCTGATGTTCACTGAGCTGATGCAAAGAATCCACTAAAAAGAAATGAGCTGCTTATCAAACCGTCCAGATGCTGCTGACAGATGACACGGCGCTGAATACACTGAGCCCCAGAAGAGCACAAGCCTCCTCAGTGAGATCCACAACTGCTCAAACAAGATGGCAAATCACACACAGGAAAAACCAGGTCGATGAAGAAGGCATAGAGACCAACGCAGGGCACAAAGCTGGCCAGCGGGCCCAGCGAGTCAGTCCACCAGTGCCCTTCTCTGGGACAGAGATCTAGACCCAGAACGCACCAGGAAGAGGTAGACTGCAGTGTCGTGGGGAAATTGCGCAGTGCTTCAAAGACAGCAGGATGCCCTGCTGCACAAATGAACATCTTTTTAAAACAGATAAAATCCTAGGGATGCTACGGATCATAGACCACCATGATCCCAGAAGATTCAAAAGGACCTCAAGGGCAATGGAATGATGTTGTAGTGTGAAGAGAATGCAGGATACTTCCAGATTATGGCTTAGATGGGAAAAGAATAAAAGACATCCTCTCAAGGCAATGTATGACCAGAAAGAGGGTGGGCTAGTCCCAGAGCTAGAGCAAAGGGGCAGAGACAGACAGCATGGGTGCTCTCTTGGTATCAAGGAGATCCTAAGACAGCTCAGAGAAGGCTTTCTAGAACCTGGTACGAAAGATTCATGGAAGGACATGGATAAGAATGGCACACAATGAGAAGGCATGGATGGCTTGTGACCCACTCAAGTACTAAAGCATATTCAATTCCACTAAATTTCTAAATAAAGGGCTTTCCTTAGGTTAACAGGCTCTCATTTAACTGTTTACTACCAAAAGGTCAATTATCTCCCCAAAAATGTACTTCTAATCAAATAACAAGCTAAATCTACAAGTTGGTGTCGCTATCACTAAAGAAAGCCAGTGTTCTAAATAAACATCACATACCTTTGTCCTTCTTAAAATCTAAAGCATCTTCTTTGTCTGTCACAATTTCCTTCATGTTGATAATACTCTGGTGGGTAAGCTGCCGAAGGATCTTAATCTCTCGGATGGCTGTGATGGGGAAGCCTTCTTTTTCGTTATCTAGCCGGACTTTTTTTAAGGCCACCATTTCTCCTGCAACAAAATTAAACAAATCAAAATATATCACAAATGGGCAAGCCAGATGTCATTTTTCTCAATTTTAAATTTTAATTCAATTTTTAATCCCTATTACTTAAAGCTCCAATCCACTATAAATGCCAAATATTTTTATACCAGCATACTCATATTTGTATTTACATGTAAGTGAAACCCAGATTACTTATATCTGGGAAAACCACAGCCAAAATTCCAACTCTAACTGGTGAATTTTTAAAAATAACTAATCCACATCCATTTGCACCAATCTAAAAGTGGAATCATTCTCTGCCTGACATTAAACAAGTAATTGGAGGCATGCAGGATTTAAAGCAACTGCCTGAATCAACAAGGCAAAATACAAGAAAGTCACAGTTAGGCTCTTTTCTTTTTTATAGTTTGTCAGCAAGATGTTTTCACAAAGTACAGTGCAGTCCTGTGTGTGTGTGTGTGTGTGTGTGTGTGTGTGTAGAAACTGTAAGAATGTACTTATATACTGTTATGTAAGTTTTAACAAATACTGTTATAACCAAAATTTCATTTAGAGTATAGTTGTTTCATATATTTTATTTTAATTATCTTAAAATCTATATCATGCTTCTATGACTTATAATGACTCCAGGGAATTATTAATATTAATTGTTTAACTGAATGATGAAGTGGTCAAGGCCTAAGATGAGGTAATAGAACAGAATAAATGGCTCGGGACCATTTCTAGTCTGTTTTGATCCTGCTCTCATCCTTTAATGCTCTGCACATGTTTCACTTGCTTGAGTTCCTTCTCTACATTCCTAAAGGTTGACTGTCAAACACCTAACCTCCTTAGGGTTAGATTGTATACAGTTACCATGTAAATAAAATGTTTCTAAACACTAGCCTTAAATAATCATAAAGTACTTTCTTGAACTGGATCACTGCTAGTAAAAGTATTTTGTTGAACTTGCTACAATAAAATCTGCTACATAAAAACAATTCTGAGTAAGCTTTTTTTCCTAATCTTTCTCTGGAGGAAAAAAATTGCTTATAATTCTTTAAATAATAAAAAGATACCTAGACAAAAACACCTGCTTTATTAAGGCTGAAATAATTTTATGGTTATGGCTAACAAAGGACATTTTAGAAATATGTAAAATTCTCTTTAAAAACAAAAGAAATCAGAATGAGAAATACTTGATTCCATCAAGAATCACAATGTAGCAAAAGAAGCTGACATGATTATGACAGAATCCCTCTATATCAACTATATTCTTTAAAATTCCTAAAATTGTATTTTTAGAAGATGAAACCAAGCCAAGTTCACAGCATATACCATCACCATATTTTATGAGCTCTTACCTGTATCTTTATCCCTGGCTTTGTAAACTTGCCCATAGGTGCCTTCTCCAATAATTCCAATGATATCAAATTTATCCACGCAGCGCTTTCCCCAGTCAATATCCTTTTCTTTTATTTCACCATAGCGAGGCCCACATATTCTAGTAAATATAGTTCTGAAGTTTTATGTGCAGTCAAGCAAGACAAGTTTAATTACTAATCACCAAAATAAAATTCATTCCTCCCCCCATCTTCATAATAACAATGGGGTTTTGGACCTGATGTTATAATAATGCTACAGGGTCATTTTATCACCCAGACATTTATTCATTCTGTGTATAAACTAAGAAAGAACAAAATGGAAGAAGCTCCATGAAAGCTATTCCAAAACAAGTCACTAAAGCCAAAGAAATCAACATTCAAGGGGAAAAAACCCAACTTATTTGTCCCTCCATGTTTTCCCATTCATCAACCACATCTCTTCATAAAGTTAAAGCTTTATGCTAAGCATGTTTTTAATGTAAACTATTGGACTTTGGGGACTAATATAGAGTTATATCCAAAGGAATTTATACTGACAAACGTACACATCAGTACTCAGCTCTGAAGTCAAGGAATTATATACAATTTTTCATTTCAATCAACTCAATTAACTACACTAATATCAGATCACAGGATCACAAATTTAGAGCAGAAGAGACCTTAAAAATTGTCTGGTGCCACTCCTAATTTTACAGATTAGGAAACTGAGTCCCAGAAATGTCAAACGACTTAACCAAAGTCATACTAGGAATAAGTGGCAGAGGGGATCTGAACCCAGATTCTCTGACTCCCTAACTTTCCCCCCCAACAGTAGTCCACACCGAGACACAGGAATACTTCAGAAAATTTTTTTATATTCTCTAAATGAAATACTTCATTAGTTTTAATAGATACAACCAATTAAATAAAATATTATTATCACCAATTAATACCCAAATAAGGAGAAATTTAAAAACTGTCCTGGCTCCCCAACCTATGCTAATAATCCAGTCCATAGTAGGGGTGAACAGTATCTCACACTTTTCCAATTAATCTGCATGGAATGCTTCACTCTCTTAGTTCACATCTAAGTAACAAATTCCCTTGGTGGGAAGAAAGCTGTGAGAAAAAGGAGCTATGTTTGCAGATGGCTGAATTAGGTTGCAGGGAGACTTCCTTCAGGTACTTCACTGAGGCTACTAGGATAAGACTTCAAACTTACTTTAAAATCCAGTTCCTGGTGGAAAGCAAGATACACGGGAGATAGCAAAGCCAAGAAAATAATTAGAAACTAAAAGCTAAGGGGTGTATCAGCTTTCCCACAACTCACTTTGTGTGGCTTCACTGAGAGTTGATCACAAATACCTTCCCTTGCCTCCAAGTTTTACTGTTTCTACTTTGTTTAGAATATCCTATATATAAAAGAAAATTATTATATTTACTAGAGTCACAGGAAATTAACAAGATAAAAAGACCATAGTATTCTAGAGGTAGAAAGCTGCTCAGAAAGCATTGATTCCAAGCCCAGCAAGTTACTCCTCCAGCCTTTCCTTGAAGCCTACTGAGGCTCCGGGAAACCCCCAGGCCCATTTCTGAGAGCTCCAACTGTTAAGCATTTATTTATAATGAAAACTGCCTCTTTGCAACTACCAGCCACTGCTCCTAGCTCTCTCTCCCCAAGTAAACAAGTCCAATACCTCTTCCAAGTGACAGCAATTCATATACTTGTTAGATTTTTTTTTATTGGAACTCACTGACAGATCACACCAAGTAATTATGAAGATAGTCTTAATTTTTCCAGTACACCAAAAATTGCATTTAAAAACTTAGGCTACTAATACAAAAGGTTTGGGGTTCTTTTGGAGAGTTGGGTTGTTTTTTTCAGTTTTGAAATCTGATTTCATGTTTCAGGTTTTCTGGATAAAGCAGAAATATTTAAGGTAAGCTCTAACAGCAGGCAGAAAGCCAGGCTCAGGATGGAGCAGCACGTACTTGGGCCTTCTCTTACTGTGCGCCGGGGCAGAGGCCTTCTTCTCCTCGGGGCTCGTGGAGAAGTCGTCCCCTCCTGGGAGCTCGGGGGGCAGAGGCAGGTCTGCAAGCAGACAGCGCAGCTTCTTTTCGACTTCTTTTTTCACTGCTTTTACTGAAATGTTCCCACGTAAGCTAGAAAAGAAAGGTCATCAGGTGAATAGCACACTCACGCCCACTCACCTCAAATGGTGTTGTCTGGGGGACACTCTCTCCACCACTTCCCACTACTGACCTTTCACATGGGCACTGCTGACACCCTATACGTTATGTCCCAAACACACAAGCTTCAAGTAAAAAGGAAACTGAGTTGCCACCAAGCACTTTATTTCATTCTGGTTGAAGATACTATGATTATTCTACAATTTTCAAAAAGTATGTAATGTATTTTAAGCACTTCATTTTGCTAACATCACATTTTCCCTCTCTCTGTCCATACTAGACACATTTTTTCATTAAAACAAAAAATGATCATAACTAAACAGGGTAAAGCCATTAATCTTAAAATTATGTGTTTTATTCATGGAACTCTTACTAATTTACTTGAAGTGGTTTTTGAAACAGGAGGAACATAAAGGATGGTGTTTTTGGAACCTCTCTGGTTTATCACTGATACCTCATATGTGATTGGGCATTTGTTTTCATTTCTCAGTCTCAATGTGCTATTTAATATGTAATATCGCTTCCTTAGTGGACTACTTCCTCCTGTAGGATTTCACTTTGTAATCCAAGCTCCAGCAAGCTAAAAGTTCTTAAATTTGCCTGAAAGTCAAATCAAATTTATAATTTTCAGGTAAGGAAAAATTATCAATTTCATGGATGATCTTAAAAATTTACAATGATTAGGTAAAGTCACACTGAGAAATATCAAACTAGTGTCAAGAATGTTTCCAGAAATATGTTTTGCATGACTTCACATCTATAATTGATACCAATAATTGCATGCCTTCTCAACAGGTGGGAGAGGGGCTGGAGGTAGGGAGAAAATTTGTAACTCAAAATTTTTTAAAAGTACTGTCAAAAATAAATTACTAAATTTGAAGGAGGCTGGGGGAAAGAGAGGTAGGTAAAAGATTGTTTCTTGATTCAACAGTAAAGAAATCATACCTTCTCCACAGCAATATCTGGTCAAAAACATTCAGTTTCTTCAACAGTGAACCTTTTCTCAAATATACACTTAGAAGTACTGAATTTCAGCACTAGAAGAAACTTCAGAAGCAAATGAGTCCAACTCAGACAAGAACAAGAATTCCCAACCCAGACCAACAAGCCGCTGCTCCAAGGCCCTGTTCCTAGTTCAACTCTCTGAGGCCAAGCAGACTGAATTTAATCACACCTCCACACAAAAGCATGTCCAAACTATAAGCACCCTCATGTCCTGAGTCTTGAGCTCTCCAGACTAAATGCTTCCAGTTCCTTCAAATGTTCCTCATATGGAAAGACCTTGATCAAGGCTCTTCATGGTCCCGGTCACTCTCCTCACCTGTTCAATGTCCTTTCTGAAAAGTGGTGCCCAGAATTGAACACGATATTCCAGATGTCACTATAGCAGGGCTAACCACCACAGACCATTCTTAATGCACCCTCAGACTGCATGAGTTTGAAGGTGGAGGGCTGATTTTTATTTTACTACAACATCACACTGTTGATTTATATTGGCTTTGGAGTCCATTAAAACCCAAAGCACTGGGGCAGCTAGGTGGCGCAGTAGACAGAGCACAAGCCCTGGAGTCAGGAGAACCTGAGTTCAAATCCAGCCTCAGACACATAACACTCACTAGCTTTGTGACCCTGGGCAAGTCACTTAACCCCACTGCCTAGCCCAGAACAAAACAAAACAAAAAAAACCCCAAAGCATTACCTAGTCATTTGTGCCTTACCTATCTTACATTTGTGAATGTGATTTCCAGGGCCGAAGGAGTAGATTTAATATTTACTCTTCATAAATCTCATCTCATCAAATTCTGTCCAACAATCCAGTTTTTTCAAGATGACCTTTTTGGATACCAGCTCTATCACCCAACACGTTAGCAATCCTTCCCAGCTATGCTTCCATCTGCCAGTTGCCAAATGTGCTATACATTCCTTTATCCAGTCATCAATAAAGCTGGCTCAAGAGCACAAGGCCAGAGAGTCTTGGGACACTCCTCTCTTGCTACTTGCAATCCAAGCTGACATGCAACAATTCATTAGTACCATCTATGCTGGCTAGTTCTGAATCTGGATAATTGTACCCTACCGTCTGGTTCACATCCCTCTGTCTTTTGCACAAGAATAAGAAATGGCATGCCAACCTATTGCCAACCCCAAGGAAGGCAAATTCACCAAGGTGAAGCAGCAAGGCACCCTCTGAGAGAGACAGAAAGGGAGGTAGCATGTTCTAGGCAAGTCAAACCACTTCTACCGCCACCTTCCCCTAAAACCCAGATGGAGCCAGTGCAGAATCTTGAGCCCCAGAGTTCCCTACCACCCCAACCTGAACCAATGGCCCTCTTCCAGTCCAGCCCCAACAACCACCACCCGGGGAATCAACTTTTGGAGAGAAGCACCAGCAGTTTTTACAGCCCCAGCCTCCTCAGCAATCACAGCTACCCAAGACCAGCAAAACCAAGTTCTTCTCACCAAAGTCCTTGGCACTATCAAATGGTTCAACAACAGAAACAAATAAGGTTTTAGCAGTGGAAGTGACAGTAATGAAGAGGCCTCACCATACGCTTGGTCCCTCATTCTAAAGATCATGAAGATTTTCCATGTGACTGGAAGCTAAAATGTCTATTCTGTGCTCTCCCCTCCTATTGGAACATAAGCTCCTGGAAAGCAGGAACTATCTGGCTTTTCTGGCTTGTATCCTTAGCACCTGTTAGTACAGTGTTTGCCACAGTAAGTAGGCACTAACTACGGTGCAGCACACAGAGCGCTGGAACTGGAATCAGGAAGACTCAAGTTCAAATCCTGCCTCAGAAATTTACTAGCCATGTGATCTTGGGCAAGTCACAACCTCTGTCTGCCTCTGTTTCCTCATCTGTAAAAGGAGGATAACAACAGCATCTACCTCCTTAGGGTTGCTTCGAGGATCAAATGAGATAATATTTGTAAAGCACTTGGCACAGGAAAACTACAGTATCTACACAATAAAAATATTTCAATGTGTTTAATTGTATCCTGAAAGAAATGAAAAAGAGTTCTACCACAAATCCATTCCAAATGCATCCCCATCTAAGCATCTTTCCCCATAACCAGAACAAATACATGCTCCTCACTGAAAGGGTAATAAGAAAAGACCCAAACTGTGATGAGGGGGAATGAATGTAACTCCAATGAGCACTCCATTTCTGATGATACCACCAACTTCCACACAGATAATCAATCCAGAGTAGATGAAGGAGGGGAGAGAAGAAAAGTCCTTTTAAGGAAGATAAATACTTTAGATCATGGAAAAATTGGTCATAGCCACAATTCTGAGGCATAAGAAAAAATTTATAAAAAAATGCTATGGTCCTTTATCTTCCTGGGCTTCACTCACTGAAGAGAAACACACATACAAATACACAGAATTTTGGGAAAGAGAAAACCAAAAGGAAGTACAATTACTAACCAATGGTTTCTAAGTTACTATACAGACCAAAAAGAGTAGACACATAACAAGGTCATTTTTCAATTTCTTTGTTGTCCCTTCAAGTCAATTTAAATTACAGTATAATATAGCTACCTTTCTTCTCTGAGCTGAAACGTGCAATGCTGAGGAAATAAAAATGAAAGCTGGTCCCTGGAAAGTCAGCCAATTTAAATGCTTTTCTTTGTCACAAGGAAAGGTTCAATGATGGTTTAGGGAGAAATGACCCACGTAAGAAACAAAAGGCATCAACAAAACTAGTTTTAATGGAAAAGAACAGTTAGCCTCAAGTACCCCCCCCCCCCCCCCGTTTTTCTCCAAGGCAGCATTTATAACTCCAAGGGAACACCAGAACCCACCCATTATTTCACTGGATCCTCAAATGATCCTGTAGTCAGGTGTTGTGAATAGTCTCATTTTACAGATGAGGTTGTTTACGCTAAGAAGTTAAGTGACTTGCTAAGGGCATAAAGTAAGTAGAAATGCAGACAATAAATTCCAGTCCAATGACTAGTCCGTGTTCCATTATATTTTCATTATGTTACCAAAAACTGATGGTCATAAATGTTACTTAAATAGGAAATACCTAATCTTAGTAATTATTTTTAAATAAGATTATTCATTATCAGAGGGACATCTGAAATGGCATCATTCATTTGAGCCTCAGTTTTCTCCTCTTTAAAATAAGGAGGACTAGACTAGCAGAGCTTCAATGCCTCTTCGGGTAGTGAACTGATGACTCCATTACTTTAGTAATTAAATGTATGTGCATTTGTGTATGTGAGTGCGTTTTGGTGGTTAATTCACCTGTCATCAGCTTCCCCAAAACAAAGGGGGAAATGGGGTAAGCAATTAAAAGATAAAAACGGTTATTATTTTAGTTATACCAAATAAAAATTTAAAAATTTAGTAACTCAGCTAAAAAAAAGAAAAAAAATCTTCAGAAGATGAAGTTCAATTTAACTGATGGCACTTGAGGTTAGCAAACTACCACATAATGTAAAGCAATCTTGGGTCCAAAGCACATTCACTAATGTACACAATCCTCCTGTCTACTCCTTTGAAGGATCTTCTGTATTTGTGAAAAACAAACCAAAAAAAAGAATAAAAGCAGACAGGGGAAGAGAGGGATAGCACGGAAAAACAATCTGGATATAGAATGGAAGACTAGTATGAAGACCTACTAACCAACCACACGGTCCAAGAGGCAGCATTTTACTTTTGTCTTTGTAACCTGCTCTCAGGTTCTGGAAAAAAAGACATTAGACCAGAAAAATGGAGGGGGGGGGGGGGGGAGGGGGAGAGGGCGGGGAGGGGGGGGGGGGGGAGGAAGGGGGGGGGGGGGAGGGGCAGCAGGCTATAAAGTCACAAGAACAGAACCACAAAGCTCTGGCTTCTCACATACACAAAAAAAATCACAAAAGGAAACTGTTTAAAAGGACCCAAGAAAGATAACAAATGGCCTGCCTGCTTCATGGAAGCAAAGACCTTACAGGAAACATTCTTCAGTTTTTACATTTACACTCAAAAATCCCCTGAAAACACACTAACTGATTTTTCAGTCCATTCTTATGTTTCAACTAAAAAACGCTATTCTTCTATGACTTAATAGTCATAATAATGCAAAACAAATTAGAGAAAAATTTTCTATAATGTATGAACAATGATAGATTCTCTGAAATTTGTGTAATTATTAATCATAATTCTAAAATGCAACATTTTTCTAGCGCTCAAGGTTTTGCAAAATACTTTATATATACTAATGTCTCTGATTCTTACACCTTGGCAAAGTAAGTGGCATCATGATCTCCCAGGAGAGATTAGCAAAACCCACTGAGGCTTAGCCATGGGGACTGTCACAAATTGTTATGGAGAAAGTGAAATCGAGGGGCATTTGGGAGCCATACCTCAGCCTTTAAGCACAATAAAGTTCTCCCACAAAAGGTCCCCAGGGGCTACTGCCAGAACCAGAATCCAAGGTTAAATCCCCCCCCACCCCTGGGGGGAGGGGATTTCTGGGACTCTTTTGCAGGACTCAACCCTGAGGATCCAGCCAGCATGGCTTGAATGACACTGTCAATACACAAAACAACAGGTTTGTGTGGCAGTTTTGTAGCTGATGTTCCTTCCTGTTCTATGTTCCTGCAGAATCTGATTTGTGGTCAAAATGTAGACAGTAAAAAACAATTTGCTTTTTGCTCAGTTTTTTCCCCCAGAACATACTGTTTTCTTTTCAGGGAACATCCCAAGTCTCAGAACTCACCTGTCGGCATCTTTGTCTTCAGGCAGCAGGGGAGGAAAAGGCAAAGGTGGTAAAGTGGAGGTCACCAGGGGCCCATGGTGCTCCTTCTCCTTGGTGCCCAGGCTCGGGGTGCGAGGTTTGCTCTTCTCTTTCAGCACTGCTGGCTCCTCCTTCACCACAGTCGGCTGACTCTCTTTGCCCACCACCACACCCTTCTTGGTCTTGTCTACAATCAAGTTATTTTCCACCTTTGCTCCCGGCAGAGGGGGCTTTGCTTTTGCCTTGTCGTTCTTCAGAGCCCCGCCGCTGGTGCCGCTGGTGGGGGAGGGCGTGTGTTCGGCCTTGAGCTTCTTCAGTTCCTTCACATGGTTGGCTTGGGGCACGCTTCCGCCTACGGGGTCAGCACTTCCCACTTTGGTGGGCGTCGAGGCGTTAGACGCTTTGGCGTGAGCTTTGGCCGCTTCCGCGGCTCTGGCTTTCTTGTTCTTGTTCAACTCAGCAGCCAGGCTACTTTTCAGAGTCAGAGTGCTAGGAGAAATGCTAGAGTGGCGACTCCGGGACCTAGATAACCTATGTCTGCTGCGGGACCTCGAATGCCTAGATGAGTAAGGGCTTCTGCTCCTCGACTTGGCAGATCGTCTGCTTGAAAAACAGTAAAGACTGCATTAGCAAATGTTCATTTCTGTAGGGAGGGGAGAGGGGGAGGTAATGTTCAAATGCGCTATTTACTTCCCAACTGCACGGTGAAACACAGTTACCAACTTAACTGAGGATTACTGTAAGACCACGGATTTCTACCTGCGAGGTTATAGCACTGAACTCAAGTGCAACTGCTTCATTTTGCAGATGAGGGAAACTGAGGTCCAGAAAGATTTTCGCTCTTGGGAGGAAGCGTCAATAGGAAGTGTAATTACTGACTAGAGTTTAGAGAAGTCATGAAAACAGAGTGGCCCGGTCTTCCCAAGGTCCTCCGGCCCATGATAAGAGGCAGATCTGAGGAAAAAAACCTAATAGGTGAAAGGGCCATAAGACAAGGCTATGGTGGTGCGAGAGTCCAGCAACAGCTGAAACCAGACACCCACACCAAGGTCAAAGTTCAGTTAAGTCTGCCTCCTGGTGGTGGACAGAGCAAAGGCTCCCTGTCTGAGTGGCACCTACCCTCACCTTACAACACACACAGCACAGCAAATCAGACACAGGAGAGAGGGAGTTGATTCTTACCAAATTACCATTCTATTAATATCTAAAGCATTAATAATTAAGCATTTTAATAACAGAATCATTAGAAAGTCATTAAAGCAAATTACATTTGTTAAGTGTTTTTAGTATTTCAAAGTATTTTAACAACCATTATTTATCTTATCTTTACAAAACTCTGAGAGATGGTAAGGCAGGTATTATTATACACATTTCAAAGATGCAGAAACTAAGGCATAAGGAGCAAAAGTGATTTGCCTAAAGTCATAAAATTAATGGCGAAGCCAGAATTGGAACTCCCATCCCTTGTCAAGGGTCTGAAACTAAGGAAATGCTTAATTTGGTAGAATATCACTTTCGATTTCTTAGCACAATCACATACATTAACTCATTTTATGTACAAACAACCTCATAAGGTGGGAAGGCCAAATATTACCCTGTTTTACATGTAAACCTGAGGCTCAGGGAAATTAAATGACTTACTCATTATCACACAAACAGTAAGAGACAGAAGTGGAAGGGACCCAGACTTTTGTTCTAGACCAAAACTACCTCTTTCTTTAAAGATGACTCTGTGCAGACTATTTAACAGACTTTTGAAGAAAATGACTGATAAATATGGAAACTGATTATCACTAGAAAGCAAAGTCAATAACTAAACCCCCAATCCAAATTTAGAGGGTAATACATTGCAAATATTTCCGGCTTTTTCAAAACAATACACTGGTGAGACAGTTGTCCTCCTATCCTTTTGTCATAGTGGATTTCACACAGCCCATACAGCAAGTACTAAGAGCTGATATCCCCTTTTGTGCCAAAGGTCATGCAAACGCAGCACTGATTTAAAGGATCACAACGACATCCTTATTTTAAAAAATAAGACTATATGTTTCTGCGTGACTTTTTGTTTTAGATCCCATTTGTCCATCCATATTTCCTACTTCATTTTCTCCCTTTTTTATTTCCACTTAAAAGAATTTCTCCAAACAACAGCAGACTTATATTTATCAGTTTTATGAATCACCAAGAGTTTACTAGACATCTACTAATGTGTCAAGTACTGTGCTAGGGGCTGATGATACAAATGTTCAATCACCCTGGAGGAACAGAACAAAGGTTCAAATGTGGGTTTAGACCGATAAGACACAAAGTATTTGGTGCGAGCACTGGCATCTGGGAGAGTCAAGAGAGGATTCCTGGAGAAGGGGGCATCTGGCCTAAGATTCTAAGAGGCAAAAAGGAAGGGAGAAGGGCATTCCAGGTGTGATGAATATCCAGAGCAAAGGTAGAGAGAGATGGGAAATGGAGAGACATATATGAGGAACAATGAGACCAGACTAACTGGCCCGCAGAATCCGTGAAGGGAAGTGGCCTTTACAGGTTGGAAAGGTTAAGGCAAGTTAATGAAAAGCTTTAAATGCCAAACAGAGAAGTTTATATTTGGTCCTCGAGATTATTAAGTAAGGGACTGACAAGGGCAGACCTGAGCTTTGGAAAAATCACGAGGACAGCTAAGTGGCACAGTAGATAGAGCATCAGCCCTGAGCTCAGGAGGACCTGAGTTCAAATTCGGCCTCAGACACTTGACACTAGCTGTGTGACCCTGGGCAAGTCACTTAACCCCAACAGCTTCACCAAAAAGCAAAAGAAAAAAGAAAAAAAGAAAAATCACCTTGGCAACTGACTGAAAGACAGAGTGGAGTGGGAAGAAACCTAAGAAGGAAGACAAATTAAAAAGCTATTATTTTAATGGTCCAGGTGAGAGAGGATAAGGACCGGAACTTTGGTGATGGCTGTGTAGAGAGAGAAAATGTAGGATGTGGAAGTTTTTACAATGCAACTGATTTTATTACTTATGGTGAAGCAGAATAAGGAGCTGAGGCTGAAAACCTGGGGGCCTCAAAAGGATGTGGCACCACTGATGGTAACAGGGAAATATGCAAGAGGGGTGATTGACAAGAAAGAGAACAAGATTATGCTTTTTGTTGCTAATTTTTAAAATATATGAATGGAATGTTTTAGATTTTCTCTTTAAAATAAATGCCGAAAAGAAACAAGTTAAGCTGTCTTTTACTTATACAATTTTCGTTTGATTCTCCCCGTACTGGTTAGTGCTCTTAAGACCTGGAAGAAAGCTTCCAAGGCTGGGTGTCCAAACCCAATGTCTGCTAGTAGCGCTCACCACCACCCCCTACCCCTACACCAAGAAGCTCTAGACACCGCATTACTAGTCACAAAGGCTGAGACAGTACATGTAAGCCATGATCCACAGAATCCCAGGAGAATCCCAATGAGATCACACACTCCATAAAGCAGGCAGTACTCACACTTCATTGTGGCAACCGTTTTTAGCTCTTACAATTATAAGGGAAAAGACATTCAAATACAGCCAGAGCCTATCACAAAGTTCTTGCCTAGGTAAGAGCAAGTATAAAATATTTATAATCTTTTAAAAAGACAAAACAATCAAGGAAAACTGATATTAAAGTTGGAAGATAAATGAAGGTATACAAAGTAAACTCAGTGAGACAACAGTCAAGTAAAAAAAAATTTTTAACTATTCTGAGAAAAGGATAAAATGTTAAAGGATGACTGAGTACAGTAGCCAGTCAATAAACATTTATTAAATGCCTACTACGTGCCAGACACTGTGCTAAGCACTGGAGATTAAAAGAAAGGGGAAAGACAGCTCTGCTCTCAAGGAGGTCACAATCCACACGAGAGAGACAAAGGGCAAATGACTACATAACAAACTATATGCAGGATAAATTGGAAATAATCAACTGTGTCCAAAAAGGAAACTTTGAGACTAATAAAGCTAAGCCTATCCTCTAAATATTTTTGGTACATTCAATTTCTAAATGCATTGATAAGAAACCACTTAACTGCACAAGAATTAAGATTCCTCAGCCAAACTGAAAACATGTCAATGCTTCAATTAATTTAAAAAGAAATCTCTGAAATCACTTTTTTTCTTTCACAACATAAAACAAAATGTATTTATGTTATATGTTAGGGATGTCAAGATCAAATGAAGTAATGAACTAAAAAAAAAACCAGACATTTCACAAATATTTTAATCTGAAAAGTAAAAAGCTTCAAGATGATGCATTAAAGTTTCATGTATTTCTGAAAATACAGATGTATTGTGTATTTTGCTTCTCAGGAATATTTTCATTTAAGACATGGCTTATGTGTTTCTAATAAAAAATAAAGAATTTGAAAACTCACTTCTACCTAACATTGAAATAACACCATCTTAAAAAAATAAATAAATAAAACCTATTTAGAAAACGCTGTATTATTACAAGCAAGTCCAAAAAAATCACTTAGGTTGTGGACAGTGAGTCTGTAAAGTCTTGTATGGGAGAAGGATGACAGAAGATCTGAACAGTGTAGCCTCAGAACATATCAAAAAGCAGTGGAGGGAAGAATTAGTCCAGTGAGACCTTGTGAGGCTGGGCCTGGAAGGAGGACGAGTAGACCAAACAAAGGGGAGCTCTGACAACGTTGAATGACAAACTCTGCACCAATTACAGCAGAGGAATGAGAAGCAGGGTCAGGGTGGCGGACTGAAAAGGAGTCCCTGAGGCTAGAGAACTTAGGAAAAAACGGCAGGCTGAATCCTAATCAGGAAAGCCAAGGAAAAATCGATGGGAGTCACCTGGGCAGCCCAGGGCACCTCAGGGAGACAGAGCAGGCGGCAGACATGGGCGAGGGCACTGGCCAGGGACATGAAGATCCTGCAGTTTGGTTGTCTGGCTCAGATCCAAGGGGCAGCACTGGAGCCCATTCTGGCCCTTAGTCCAGTGGGGAAACCTGTAACAATCACCAGAGGAGGAGAACTAGCCTGAAAGGAAGCCAACAGTTGTGTCTCTAAGAAGTCGCAGAACTTCCAGTGACTCCCAGTGACCAAGCCCAACTACAGGCCACTGACCCAGACCACTGACAAGCAAAAGACCCAGACCTGGGTCAAGAACTTGCAGACCAGAGAAGCAAACAGACCTCTACCCAGACCTACACCACTCTGAGAGCACTGAAAGTCTGCAGGCTCCCAGACAGAGCTGAATAAAGCAGCAGAACGATATAAAAACACACAAGGTCAGGCCAGACATCCCCATCCCCACCAGCCTCCAGAACACCCAGAATTCAATCTGAAGTCAAGGAGCCTGCAGGAAGGACGGGCAAAGAAACAAGCAAAAGAACCCCACCATAAAGAACCAGTGGGTGACAGGGAAGCTCAAGACACAAACACACAAGAAGAGATGGAAGAAGATGGAAGAATGATGGACTCAAAAATGTCTACAAACAAAGCTTCCAAGAAAAATGTAGCTAGGACACAAGTCTAACAAGAATTTCAAGAAGAGTAAAGGCAAAAGTTTAAAATAGAGCTAAAAATGACTTTAAAAAACAATTGAGGGGGCAGCTAGGTGGTGCAGTGG